GGATCGCGTCGCGATGCGAGGCGAAGCAGATCTCCGCCTCCGCCGTACTCGAGACATGCAGAGGACGCGCGTGTGCGCGACGATGCGTTCGACGGCGAGGCACACTGGCGCCGGAAGGCCGACGAGAGACGCAGCCAGCCGCGGCCGCCCGTGCAGCGTGGTGGCGCACCGAGAGTGTTCGATGCAGCCATGGGTGCGTTGCGCAAGCCGGCGCCCGCAAAGGAACTCTTCCCTACCACTGCCACCAGTGCCGAGGGGCTGAGCATCTTTGGTCGTGCCGGCATCCCCGATCCTCGCGCACCGGCCTTCGTCCCCGCCACCGAAGCTGCTTCCGCTCCCCCCGCTCCATCGGGCGAACCAGCTTCGATCCTGGCACGCATTGATCCGATGCTACCGAACAACGACGCTCCCATTACCACCGTCGCTTCCGAGGTGGGCCATTCGAGCGACTTCCCAACGGAGCCTAGCGAGACGTCGATCTGTCGGTGGAATGTGGGGTGTACGAATCCGATGTGCGCCTACTCGCACGCGTCGCCCGCCAACGCCGGCCCGGGCGGCGACCCGAATGCGCTGGTGCTCAGCCAGCAAAACTGCCGCTTTGGCGCACGCTGTACCAACAAAGACTGCACGCGCAGCCATGTGAGTCCTGCCGTGGCGCGCATCCGTCCCCCCGCCCCCGCCCCCGCAGTGCCCAAAGTGCTCTCGATGGACGCGGCATTGCCGAGCCAGTCGTCGTCGCGACCGTGCAGGTTCGGCGCAGCGTGCACGAGGCCAGACTGCTTCTTTGCCCATCCACAGCGCAGTGCAGCGCGAACGCCGTGCAGGTTTGGTCTCGGATGCACGAGGCCAGATTGCTACTTTACACATCCGGAGGGACAGAGAGCAAGTGCAGCCGGCGGCACGGTCAATAGGCTCCAGGTCTTCGCTCAGCAGCAGCAGGACGACGAGATGGAGAGCATCATCCCCGGTGCAACCACGACTCAGCCGGAACCACTCATGTCGTCGTAGATTCAGCACGCCGCAAGCCCAATATCTGCATTTTCGTCGCGCTTTTGTCTGGAAGATGGCTCGAGGATCAAGTGCGAGCTGGATGGCGGAACTGTGAGCTGACGCAAGGGGTCGTGACTGTACGCCGGAAGTAGATGCTGTTTGGTGGGGTAGCAGACTAGGCTTCGGGTAGCATGCGGTCCGGCACGCCCGCGCGGGCGGCGGCGTTGTCGACGCACAGATACATGGTCTGTTCGAGATCCCGGTCGATGGCGAGCAGGATTTTCGCCGTAGTCGCAACGCCGTCGCGCGGCATGCGGGGTAAGTGGTGGACGACAAAGTGGCGCACGCGTGGACGCTCGCCGAGCTCGCTGCGTCGCATGTACTCGAGCATGAAGCGCGCGTCGAACGTCACGTTTGCATCGCTAATGTCGATGAGCAGCATGCGTCCAACGTCGCGCTTCAGAGCAACCCGTCCGGGCCAGGTCCGCTCCGCCACAGGTTCGGCCTGTCTAAATGGCTCGGCTCGTGTAGCAGGCTCAGCTCGTCGAGCAGGCTCATCTCGTGGAGCAGCCTCGGCTTGTCCAGCAGCGTCCACTCGTCCAGCAGGCTCGGACTGTCTAGCCTGCAAAGGAGCGGGCGAGGGCGAAGGAGAGGGAGAGGGAGAGTGCGAGGAAAAGATGTTTCCCATCGTGTCGGATGTGCACGAGGCGTACAGTATGAAGTGGTGGGTTGAATGAACAAGTGCAAAGTGCGCATCCTTGTGCGGATACCTGTGCCTCTTTGTGCGCAAGAGCGGAAACCTTGTTCTCTGCGCAGCGTACGTCACCATGGATCGTCCGTCGCATTTCTATGATCACACCTGATGCGAAAAAACAACCTCTGAATGCATCCGTCCTTGCATCCGTCATGAAACGGCCGCATTGTGCAAAGACGCAGACCGTAAATGAAGCCCGCTTTCATAAGAGCTTTGTCCTTATCGGTCCCGCACAAAGGATTGCCAACCCGCCTGCCCTGTGCCGCGAAGCTTGTCCGCATTTGCTTCTTGCCACCATCCGAAACCAATCTGAGCTGGTCGCAGCAAGACTGGCACCATGGTTCAAGCTAAAGCGAGCAGCGACAGGCAGTTCAGCCCGCCGCTCACGCCGGTCTCGCAGTCGACACAGGTAGCGACACGAGCATTCTCGGTCCCGAGCGCACAGCTTCTCACCCATGCTCCGACGTCTTCTCTGGACGAGACGCCGAGGCGGAAGAGCATGGCGTCAGGGAGTCTCAAGCGCAGGGACATCAGCTTCAGCGTGCCGCCAACCGACATCACGAGAGGCCCGGTAACAGCGGAAGCGTCGAGTCCGAGAGTTCGTCTGAAACGGGTACGCAGGACTTCCATGGGTCCACCAGCTAGCCCACACACATCGAGCTCTAGGGCCAAACCTGTTCGCCGTCTGCCAAGACCTTGGCAGGTGAGAGACGACGAAGAAGATGGGGACGAAAGCCAAGACGAAATCGACCTCTTAACAATTCCAGCCTCGCAGCCAGCTCCTGCCAAGCGGATAAGTTCGGAAAGCAAGCGAGCCGAGACACCTGCGCCAGTGCGTCACGATGAGCCTCTACCGACACCTGTGGAAGAAGGTGCGGGCACTAGTGCAAGCCAGACAACTCAGAGATCGGTACCACCATCGCAGCAAACGCCTACGAAGTCGAAGAGGCCGAAAAGCAAGCAAGCCGAGGCATCTGTGCCGGTGCGCGGCGACGACTCATCGCAGCAAACACCTGCGAAGCGAATCAAACGCTTGGCGTCGGGAAGCAAGCAAGCTGAGGCACTACCAGGTGTCGATGAGCCTCTGCCAACCCCCATGGCAGGAGATACAGGCGCGACCGCAAGCCAGGCGAGTCTGAGCTTGGTAGCACCATCACAGCAAACATCCGCCCAGCGAACGAGATCGGAAAGCCAGTGGGACGAGACATCCCCAGCGTGTCAAGATGATCTTCCGCCAGCACCAGTCGCAGGACATACACGTCGGAGCCCAAGCGAGGAGAGTCAGAGCTCTGCATCGCCGCAGCCGACATCTGCTGAGGGCATGCGAGCTGGAAGTCAGCAAGCCGAGGCACTTGCAGTGCATCACGATGAGCCTCTCCCAGCACCTGCCGCAGGAAATATTCGTCCTGGTCCCAGCCAGCAGAGTCAAAGCTCGGTGGCACCAGTGCAGTTGACAGCATCGCCACCGACACCTGAACAGAGCATGCCACGTCAAAGCCCACCGGAGCAAGCGGCTGCGCAGCAAAAGAGGTCGGAAAGTCAGCAGGCCGAGGCTCCTACAATGCGTCGCGACGGACAGTTGACACGGTCGAGCCCCAGCCAACGCGATCAGAGCTCGGTGGCGCCCTTGCTGCCGGCGCTAGCTCAGGGGATGCGACCTCCGAGCTCATCGCAGCCGGCACCTGTACGACCTCCGAGCTCATCGCAGCCGACATCTGCACGACTTCGAAGCTCATCGCAGCCGACACCTGATCAGAGTATGCAAAGTCGGAGCCAAGGGGACAAGGCACATGCGGATCGTCGCGACGGACAAGTGCGCTGGAACCCAAGGCAGGAAAGTGCGAGCTCGCTGGTATCAGGCTATTTGGAGGCGGTCTTGGAACCGCCATCGAGCGCGCAGAAAAGCGAGTACTTCGTAATGCCGACGATCCACCCTCCGGAACGGTGGGAGAGGAAGAAGACGGTCAGCCCCGAGAGAACAGGGCATCCCAGCCCTGGTGGTTCGACTGACTCGTCACTGTCCAGGGCGGGGACTCCAAAGAGGAAAGCAGCTGCATTGGCGGAAGAGAAGACGCGATCACTGATGGTCAACTACGCAAGGCTAGCTGCTAGAAAGGGTGACGATTATACGGTTGTGCGCGTTCAACGCCGCCCGGGCACTGCGATTGATGTGGATGCAGAGGATGCGTCGGTGATTGGACCAGGAACGAGGCGTCTACCTCGCACGCAGCCTGCTTCGAACCAGCTGTCGCCCCGCAGCTTTGGTCCCGCTTTGCCATCCGAGCTCGATGCTCACGCCTCTAGCTCGCTTGCATCGGTACTTGTGCCCGCAATTCCCTCGGCAGATGCGTCGCTCGAGGCGCTTGCACTGGCCGATGCCAATGGGCTGGCGGAGGCATGGCTGTTGATCTCCCAGACCCACACACATGTGCAGCTGCTCAACGATCGACTGCAATCCACACTCTCCTCGCTAGGCATCTCGCGCCGAAACGACGGCAGCCGCCTCAATGCGTACAAGAAGCAGGCGGACAGAGGCTTGCGGTGGGCCAACGCACTGGCGAGACAGATCCACATTGCCCTCCGAACCGGCGCAAAGTCGATCGAAGTCTGCCAGTTTCCCGAAGCAGCCCCGAGACAGCCGCGCAGAACAGCAAGCCAAACAACAAGCCAAACAGCAAGCCAGACAGCAACGCTTCAGTCAAGCCAGCTTCTGCGCACGCAGTAGCGATTATCTAGTAGCCACACCACCGTAATCGATCTCGTTGGCCGGTGTTGCAAAGAAAGAGTCGTTTCTGGGCAGTCGCGAGCTAAAATACAGAATAGGGACGAGACAAGAGCGAGAGGGATGCTGGTGGTCTTGAGGCGGGGCATTACTCGACTTCGGCAGGTTCGGACATCTTGACGGCCTCTACAAACGCCTTGTAGTCAAACGTCTTTCCAGCCTTGTCCATAAACGGGCCGGAGAGGAGCCGGTCGATTTCGGCGTCGGACATCTTATCTCCCACCTGGCTTAGCCAGAACCTGAGTTCGTGCGCATCGATCTTGCCGACGTCCTTCTCGTCAAAGCACTCGAAGGCCTCCATGAGCACGGTTTGGTCGTCGAGCTCTGCGAGATGCTCGCCGAACATGGTGAGGAACTGGGTGAAGTTAACGCCTGCGTTGGCGTTGTTTCTAAAGTACGCCTGGAGAGTCGGTGGCGATGCGTCCACGCCGAGGTTTCCGAGCATGGCGGCCATGTCGCGCTGGGTGATGAGACCGTCCGAATCGGTGTCGATCATGTTGAACGCCTCCTTGAAGCCCTGGATCTGCTTGGGCGAGAAGGCGGTGTAGAGAGCCGAGGACGACTGACGTGGGTGGTTGCCGATCTTGCGGGGAGAGGAGGCGGAGGCACCGGCGTTGAGAAACGCGGCGGCGGAAGAGGTTGCGGTCCCGCGACTGGCCATGGTGACGAGTGTATATGCTGGAAGGGAAAGCGATGGTGGTGGGGGGAGTAGGGCGGGGGAAGGCGGCTGCATGCAGTGCATATTTCGAGCCAAAAGTGTTGGTCTCGCGCGCTTGCTCAGGGGCTGAGCGCCGCCCCCTTCCGACAGCTACCTGGCTGTGGAGGGTCAACGGAGGGTCAACAGGCCGACTCGCTCACGTGCCGCCTTTTGGCGCGTCCAAATCTGCAAGTGAGCGCGATCTGACAGCCTTGAGCAAAAACCCAACCTTTTGGTCACTCCGCAGTTCCGACTGCCGATTCCTTCGCGTCTTCACAATCCCATCACGAGGCGACGACAGCTTCGACAGCTTTGACTCTCTCTCTCCATCCACCTCAAGCGACACCAACACCATGTACACCACCGCCTCGCCAGGGCGCAGCGCGTCGCAGTCAGCCTATGGCTTTGCCACGCCCGTGCGCCCGTCGACCTCGACGCACCATGCATACTCGCAGGCGCTGACGCCGTCGGACGCTTCGTCCAAGGCGGTGCGTTTCCAGAACCAGCCTCTCCCGCCGCCGCAGCAGCAGCAAGTCGCGCACCAGCCACCAGCCAACACCTTTTCTACTCCAGCCCGGCCCACGTACGGCTCGCCTGCCGCCATCTCCACGTCTTCGACCGTAGCGCAGTCTCGGCGTCCCGCTGCGTCGGCTGCCAAACCGTCCGCCGCGCCGCCCAGCGTGCCCGTTCGCACGCCGTCTGCACTGGGCGGCGCGTCTTCGATCGCACTGTCGCGTCGGCTTAAATGGAATCTGGGAGCGCTGGGCCTGCTGTGGATCGTACCGGCGCTAACGAGTCGGCCGCGCGACGCATACTGGTACGTGCTCGACCTGGTGTACATGCACGTGGGCGGAACGACCGACGAGCTCGTCGACGCCATCGTGGCGTGGGTCCTGTGGGCCATCAGCGTTGTGCTCGTGTTCAACCTCGTCGAAGCCACAGTGCTTATGCGTCGCTCCACCTCTTCTGCCTCAACGGCTCCCGCTGCCAATGGCGCTGTCGCCGGCGCTGCGGTGGGCAGGGGTGCCGTGCTGGGATTCCAGTCACCGCAAGTGGCCAAGTCGATCAACTTTGTGGCGGCGAGTCGCATGAGGGGCTCACCCAAGACACGCACTTCCAACATTGGACCCGGCTCGCCCATTTCGCACCCCAAGCGCGACTCGCCCACACAATCCGCAGCAGGTGCATCGGCGTCCATGGACTACTCGCAGTTCTCGCCGTCGTTCCGACGCACCTCGAGTCCGGGCTCGTCGCCCGTGGCTGCAGCCAGGTCGGCTACACCGGCTACGCACGAGTTTGGAGTGGCAGCAGCAGCGAGCTCGTCGCCACTGGCGGCGTTCCGGGCGCGTCACTCGGGAGCTGCGCCGCGCGCATCACCCTCGCCATCGTCACTGCGCTCGCGATCCGTCACACCAGCATCAGCATCGTGGACGGAGCCAGAGGTGAGCTTCGAGCAGGACGACCCCAACGACACGTTCCTGGGCGATGAGAGCTTCGAAGTCGACCGTGCACTGCGCAGTCTTCGTGGCTCCATGGGCGCGGTCTCTTCCACACCCGCTCCGTATCGATAATCGGCAAATGCAATGGTCATCTATTGAAAAGCAGAAGGGGGAACTAGGCGTCTTCGACTTGGATTTCAGCCGGGCTTCCAAGCGCGATATCCGTAATGACGCTCGTCGAGCTGGTGGGGGCGGTGGGGATTCCGAATCTACGTTTGACTGCGAGAACCTCGGCAGGGTCGCCGGTATTCTTGGTAAGGTCGTCCGAGATCTTGACCACGGGTCGGTGCTCTACGCTGTCGAGTTTGATGACGATGTTGAGCGGTTTGCTCTTGGTGGTATCGTGGCGCATAAAGTCGTTGGTGAACGAAGTGCCTACGCCGAATCCTGCACCGATCCCGATCTGCTTTGAGTAGGCGGCGAGGTCGATGCAACGCTCGACATCGAGACCGTCCGAGTAGATGACAACCTTTGTGCTTGGATCCACGCCGATGCTCTTGTAGGCGGCGAGTGCGCGGTCTGCAAACGCACGGCTGTCGCCCGAGTCCTGACGCAGACCACGCCATCGCTTGGCGATCTCGATGCCGTGTGCGCTGTGCAGCAGATCGTTCCAGAAGACGCTGGTGGAAAAGGTATCGGTGAGCGCAATCGTGAGGTCGTGCGTGGGGCTGTTGGGCACAAAGTCCGGCGGCGAGTAGACTGCATCCCACAGCTGGAGCGCCTTGAGGTTCGAATGCGCATATCCCTCGAGCGCAGCTACGGCCATGGTCCATTCGTGCGCAACCGTACCCACGGGTACCAGGTCGAACATGTGCGCAAAGTGCACATTGCTCGTACCCAGCAGCTTGCCGTTGGTCGTGGCGGCACGAGAAGCTGCATCGCGGTCGCCCGCAAGCAGACCTTGGATCACAGTGCGGTGGGTCTGGTAGGATCGTCTCCTGCGCGTACCGAACTCCGAGTAGCGGATTCCGTTCGAGGCGAGCTTGGCGGCTTTCGACCGCGCCTGCTCGTACTGGCCCTCGAGCGACCACTCGGTATCGACGGTGCTAAAGTACACCTCGGACACAATCGCCATGAGCGGCACCTCGTAAAAGATGACTTCGGCCCACACACCCTGCACCCTCAACCCCAAATCGCCCCACTCGCACCCCTGTGCATCGGTATACGAGGGCACAAACTCGATCTCAACCTGTGTGGACGGGTCGAACCGGAACTCAGCCAGGTAGTCCAGATAGTCGGGGCGGAGGTAGGGACATGTGCGTTCGAGCCACGAGCGCTCTGCGGTCGTGAGCGTAAGGTCAACGAGACTGTGGACGTGCGTGCGGATACGCTCGATGGCGGTGCGTGTGAACTTCATGGACGATGCCGAGCGGTTGGTGAATTTGTAGGCGACGCGGGCCTTGGGATAGTGTCGGAGCACGGCCTGCTGCATGGTGAGCTTGTACAGATCCGTGTCGAGGATGCTGCGGATGGGCGCGGTGTCGGGTGCATCCTTAACGGCGGAAGGTGTCTGCGTTGAGGACGCCATGATGAATGAGGATCGAGCGTGGAATATGGCAGGAAGGTAGAAGGTAAGCCTGGTTGGAAGGTGTTGGCTCGTGACACTTTGAGAAGGTGGAGGAGCGCGGCCGCTGACTCGAGGCGAAGTTCTTAACGTGTTAGAGCAACCGTATACTGACAATTATGGTCTCTCGCCTGCGCGCCACCGCCAACGTTGCAACGAAGCGCCGTCGAAGCGCCTTTTGGCTCAGCTCCTACGCCCTCTCGCGCTCGAAATTCTTGGCCGCTCGCTCGCGGCATCAACGCAACTTGGGGAGAGCCGACACTCCGCTCACGCAGACCTGCATCGCGACCATCACCACTCTGGCTGCTGTCATACCGTCGCAACCGCGCTTGCAGCCACACCAGCCCCTTCTCCCACCACCCTCTTCCAGCGCCATTCCGCAGCCGACGTCGCAGCCCATCACCCCCACTCCTGCGACACTCACTCTGGCTTCGGTTTCACCTCACACGAGCCGCCCCCCCCACGCACGGCCATGCACCGCCGGCTTTCCTAGCTTGCTTGCCTGCACACCGCCAATCACACTCACACCAGCCGATCGTCGCCTCGTCTGCCGCCT